ATCTTCGTAAAATATTTTTTAATTTTCGAAACGGATTTAGCATCTCATTTAAGTTCGATTTTCTATCCAGCTCAGACGCCGAAGAACTCATGGGGGACACTGGACGCGGGCAATCGGCCACTTCAGGGAGCGAGGAGCGACCTGTCGCCGTCCCCCACGCCGTCAAAACGCACACCAGTCGATTCAGTAATATCTGGTGCTTCTAACACGCCGTCCATCGCCTCCAACAGCGCTGCACAAGTCTCAGAATCGGCCTCTAGCCTCGAGGATGCCCTCGCCGCCGATTCTTCGGCTTCTCAGCGGCCCCCGCGGCCAGAAAAACCACGCCAACCGTTATATACGCCGCCAAGCAGCTCATCCGACCGCAAGCGCCGCAAAAACGGCGCGTATCGAAGCTCTAGCGGCGGTGACACACCAGTCCAGACGCCGCCCGATGTCCCAGCGATACCCTCGGCGCCACTGGAGCCTGAGCGACCGTTGCTGTCGGACTCGCAGTGGGAGAAAGACATTGCAGGCTTTGGCACGGTGCTTAACGACGTGCTGCATTGCGTGACGAACCGCCAACTGGTGACCAAGACGGCCGAATACATGGCCACGTTCCCGCAACACGCGCTGCGCTTCCAGATCAAGATGAAGCAGGTACTGATAGCCTCTAAAACCACGCCATATTATCTTAAAAAGCCGCTGCCGCCACTAAACCACACACAAAAGCCACACTGGAACGAAGCCTGGCACTCATTGTATGTTAGTTATTGTATACTTGTTCTGCTATTTCTTGCTGATGGCTGGCTGGTGTCTGACTATGCTGTGTGTACTGGTGGCGGCGTGCCTAATAGAATAGACCTCTATAGCTTTGCACTTGGTCTTGTTGGTTCACAAAACACAAACTAACGTCATTTGTCTTGCTTGTGCCTGTCTGTAGCGAGCTTATGCTGAAGGTGCGAGAGGATTCCAGGCCAAACTCATGCTGTTCTACGTTTTGCACGAGTTCCTGAAGACCTTTGAAGGCGAGCGACTGCAGCAGATACAACGAGAATGGTTCCAGACCATCGACGAGGTGCTCAACGCCTGTGCAAGGGAGATCCGCTACGGCGACAAGCGCAACGCCGA